TTCCCCTCCCAGGACTTTCCCTACCTACCCAGACCTTCTAGGACTAGTCATCTGGACCTTCCTGTCCACCATAACCACGGGGCTTCCCCCAAGAGTGCCACCCCACCAGACAAATCTGTGTCCCCCTGCTCCACCTCCCAAACGTCAGGCTTAGGATTTTCTGCATCTTGTGTTCTTTGGAAACCCCAAATTCATACAAATCTTCATTCCTGGAGACCCAGGAGGCAACTTGAGGAACAAGAAGCTGATACACACAATGTGAGGTCAAAACCAAGATGTAGATGTTAGACCCGTCCTCTTCCATGGGTTAAAAATCAATTCTGATGATTATGACAGAAGAAAAGAGAAAAACTGTCATAGGCCACAGCAACGTCATTGAAATTCGTGTTCGGCTTCCTGTGGTGATGGCTTGGGCAGCCATGGAACTCACTGACTATAAGAGGTCTCGTCACATTTACTTCCAATAAGCCACACTTTTAAATGATCTCAGTTTGCGACAGGTCACTCCAGACTGAGGATATATCCTGTAGTGTTCGGAAAGAGCCTAGAGGAATTTACATTCAGAACAGGATTTTCCCTCCCTCCACCCCTCCCTCCCTCTCTCCTTTTCACCCTCCTTCCTCTTTCTCTCCTTCCTTCTTTCTAATATACCTCTCTCTTCTCTCCTTCAGAAAAAATTCAAAGTTTCTGCTCTACGTGCCACGAGCCGCAAACTAAGCCGGCGAGGCTCCACACTCAGTCTGTCTCGGACTAGCGGGGGGTCATCTCCCCAGAGCAGCATGATCTCCGTGAACCCTGGCTCAGATGAGCCCCCAAGCGTGATCACCCAGGCAACGGGCAGCAAGGACATTGAGGACAACGAATCATCTTCAACCAAGCCCGATGATGAGCTTCTCCATCTCAGTAAGTCCTACCTGAGATCTGACCCGTCGGAGACCTATGTCCCAGAGAGAAAGTCTTTCTCCTGCCCCCTCGCCCTTTTGCTCTGTTCCTACTTTAACCTCCATCCCATTTGTCACAGCCTTGACAAAAGTAGATTAATTTCCCAGGTTTCCATTGCCTTCTGAAACCTCCTCAAATTGATTCTGAATTCATGAATCCTATTCTGAGAGACACGTTATTTGACCCAGGTCTAATTTCCAGGGCTGGCTGCATAATGAAGTCTTTGTGGATACAAATCACAGGGGACAGCAGGTTGTGGCCTCCGCATGGACTGATCCCCTCCCCGAATCAATGGCGAGGGAATTCCCGAGAAAGCAACGCTCGGGTCGATCCTCCTGCCAATCTCGAAGCTTCCGGCCTNCCAACTTGGGCCAGTGAAGCAACATCCTCCACAACTAGACTGAAGAACAAAACGACAGCAACTTGTCTGTTCTCCTTCCCCCAATTCCCCAGCACTGTTCCCATCCCCCCAATTCCCCAATAAAAAATAAATAAAAATAAAAAAATAAAAATCTAAAAAAAACACAAACAAAAAAAAACAAAAACAAAATAGCTTTAAAAAATGCAAATAGATGCAAAATGCATATGTACAAATATATGCCACCTCCCTCAGCCCCTATCCCGTCAGCAGGGGTCTCTCCTAACCTCGATTTTCACTCAAAAGACCCTGAGATGGAGGACTGTCCCACTTTTTCACGAGCACAGGAAGGAAAGGGGGAAAATTATAGCAGAGGCCAGCCACCATCCATCGCCTATGTACTGCATTTCTTAAAAGAATGCGTAATAAACCGAGAGTCTGGCCACGGAACACTCATTATGCTGTTTCTCACTCAGGGACCCAGGTGGGAGCAAGAGCACAATAAAAAAAATCAATAAGGACAAGTCCATGGGACAGAGGTGGGAGCACTTCATCACAGCGCCAAAGGTAACAGACAGCACACGACTACACCGCCCGCCTACCAGCCCCAACTTGTGCCGGAGGCGATTTTGCCAGGCTTTTCTCTGATGGGAGTTTTGCTTTCCTGGGTGGTTCTCTGAATGAAGGGAAGTCAGAACCATATGCTGTTGGATGGTTTTCATAAATTTTAATTAAAATGGTTATCTGGGGATTATAGGAGACATGACATTTGGCTGGACACCACTTCATGGAGAAGGAGAGGGGTAGCTGAGGAACTGCTTAATAGGATGTCACCAGAAGGAAATGGACTCACCTCATTCTATATTTTTAATCAATAACAGTCATTTATCTCTCTCTTTCCCTCCCTCCCTCCCTCCTAACTCAGGCAGGAAATAAGAAGTAAGTGATTTCAACAGTTAGGGTTTGCTACAAACTAGGACATGTGTTTATTAATAAAAGAACATCAAGAGGTCTACTCTTTTCACCCAAACTACCCTTAATCCAAAATCTCCCCAATTCATCTACTCAACACACAAGCATAATAATAATAATAATAATAATAATAATAATAATAATGGCAAGAGGTGACATTGAGATAGGCAAGGGTAATCGAGAAAGCACACAACTAGGGTGTTTGCTGAACCTGATCCTTTACCCACAAAATAGGTATCATGCCAGCCCCTGTCTACTCCCCAACATTAGTAAAGGATCCCAGGAAACAATATGCAAACTCCCTGTGAGAACGTTCAAATGCTGAGCATTGTTGTGGGTATATAATTTTTAGAAGCCACTTTTTAACATAAGTGCAAGGGGCCAGGTTCTGTGCTAAACAAAAAGCTAGGCTGTCCTCTCAATAACCCCTTGGGGCACTATTCTTATCCCCAGAGGGGAGAGGAGGAAGTTGGGGCTCAGAGAGGCTAAACAACTTACAGGAGGTCACACAGCTGGGTCATGACAAAGCCAAGAGTTAATCCTGGGTCTGTTTATTAAACACTGTTTGCTAAACCCTGAGTCTTCAAATGCATGTTCTCCATGGTATCATGATTATAATTGCCCTTTATCAAGAGTTTCACCATTTTCTTGTTCTTTCATCAAGGTGCACATACGAGTAGCTCAGAGAAGAGCATTTGTTTTTATCACAGAAAGTTGCTATGGAGATAGCATGTGTGTCTGTCTCCAGAGACACACCGAAAAAGCAGCAGGAGCCACAAACCTTAAAAAAATAATGTCCTTCAGGAATATACACAACAAAAGCTGGAGGAGGGGAGAGTGAATCGCCGCCCTTGAACTCACAAAATTGAATTTCCCCGAGCAAGTTTGTGGGTCAAAGTCTGGGCTGCAACATGGTCTACTCTGAGGGTGGAAGAGCACTACATTAGGAGTCAGGAGCCCTAGCTCAGCTGCTGGGACTCAGTTCAATAGGGGGCACTGGACAAGTCCTTTCATCTCTCCTGACCTCAGTTTCTCCACCTGTAAAACGAGCACTTTGAAAGAGAGGCTCCGATCAACTCACACAGCAAGTGATATTCTTCTGTGTATGTAGAGCTTGCTGGTGCCAAGGCAAATTGAGTAAATGAACGGGAAAAAAAAAATCAGGCTGAGTAAGGCAATAGGGAGTGGCGAGGTCTGTGGCAAAGAGTAATATTCCTGCACAGCTAAAGGGAAGACCCTCCCCTCAGCATTAGCTCATTTTGCCACGTGAGAGTGGGAGCCCGGGGCTTGTCATTTTCAAGAGAGGCCAACAGCCTCAGCTTTTATACAAAAATCTCCCCAATGTGTAAAACTCTGGGCAGGTACACATTTCTCCATGGGCCACCTGTGTGGAACCCCTGCTTCTAGGAAAGTATTAGGAATCACTGTAGTTCCTATGGAGGTGGAACACAGCAGCTGGTTAACACCGCTCCTGAGTGAAACACAAAAAGCAGAGAAGAAGCATTTGGGGATGTAAGTCAATTCAGAGAAGAGGCGGTTCAATAAAGGGCAAGCAAAATGCTGAAAATGCCTGTCACATTTCCTCCCCCTCCGCACATTTTACTTTTCTGCCACTCTCAATTAATCAGAAGTGTCAGCCCTTCACTCTGCATTTCCTGGCTGAGGTTGTTAATTGAATTTTAATTAATGGAAACTTGAGAAGCTCAAGATGAAATCCTAGCCCAAGGAAGAAACACACAGAAGTCTGGATATGGAAAGCCCTTCTGAGCTCATCCCAGTCCCTCCTCTTTGTTTTATCGATGAGGAAACTGAGGCAAGGCCTCCCTGAGGTGCCCTGGCTGAGTCCAGTGCTCATTGCAAGACTCCAGGCTGTCCGCATGACACAATCTGTCTAGCCTTCAACATGACACTGATCTAAAGAGCCTGGTTTCCAGAGTCAGGAATTCATATTATGCCAGATGAAACAGGAAGAGGCAACTTCTATTATCCCCGAGCCCTGACATTATCTCCCTCCCGCCACGTCCCCCAGAGTGGCAAGGCGTAGAGGGGCTTTCCATCAGTCTGGCGAGCTCTTGATCAGCTGCAATGTCAGGACAAGGGGGACACTGTATCAAGCTCCTAACTTATCCAACGAGAGAACATGCCAGCTTCTGGCATTTGCTTTTGCTTTAGCACAGACATTTTGTAACCCATACGTCCCCTTGGAAATCTGGTTAAATGCAGTTCAAACTGCAACTGCCCAGTAGGTCACACTCCGTCATTTGTGTAGCATTTCACTGAAGATTAGGGGTGGGGGTGGGGGAGTCACAGGAGAGATCATGTCTTAAGCCCCATAGCCTTTCCCCTCCCTTCTCCTCCCTCTTCCTCCACCCTTGGCTTCCCCTGTGCAACCAAGAAATCCCTCCCCTCTTCTAATGCACAGAACTTCTCCCCACACTCAGGGCTCTACAAGGTAGCCAATCAAAAAAATTACTTCTGACCATATACAGTGGACTCCCTGAAACGAATCCTGCTGGATGCTTATTCAACGTTGGTGTGGCTGCTTCTCTCCCTGTCTTCTTCCCTAAGATATCACACATTGTGAGTTTCATTGAAAGAAGACCTCAGTCTGCCCTGCAGGAGCTTTCATTTTAAATCTTATCAAATAAAAATTGTGTCTATTCATTGAGTGTAAACTATAGCCCAGGCCCACATGGAGGCTCTTATCTTAGAGCAGCTGAGGGCCTACTCCTGCCCACTGCAAACCTGTTATTTTAAAGGTCATAAAGAATCAATAGCACTGGATCAAAGGCATTTTCAATGCCACTGCAAAAGGCTTTTAAAGTATTTTTAAGCAAGGCATAATAATTAGCTTCGGTATTAGCCTGACATGGGTTTGAGCCCTGGCTGTACCCCTTGCTAGCTGTGCGATCTTAGACACGTTAGGAAGCC